ATTCCTATTAAGATGAAAATTGATGAAATTACCAATGGTAATTTGTTGAAATGACATAAAGTTCATTCAATGATATTGTTTTTATAATACAGGTAGTCCTTGAGTTGCGACCGTTTGTTCAGCAACCATTCAAAGTTAGGGTTTTGGGTAATGAAGGAAAAACTTTGCCGTAGGGCCTCAGAATGCCAGCTTAAATAAAATTAAATGTTTTAATTTTAGACTAAATAAAATTAACTTAAAAGCAGGGACATTTGCAGGGGAGGACAAAAAGCAAAGATGGAGGTTGCGATTGTGTGACTGAAGCCATCCCCCTTTTATGTGGGGCTTCAATTGCATGGTTGTGGCCACCATCTTGATTTTTTTGACAACACCCTCCCCTGGATGCCCCTGCTTAAACAGGAAGATAAGAAAACATGGAAAAAAAAATACTGGAAGTTCTAGAGTAACTAGGATACTTCAGGTGTCTAGCTGTCCCATCACATCCGGCAGGACAAGGACGTGCCAGGTCTTTTCCATGAACAGTGTTGTTTGATGGGACCTAGGAGACGTGCTTTCTCTGTCATGGTGCCTGCCCTGTGGAACAGCTTCTCCCCTGGGCTTTGGATGGCCTGACCATGTTGGGCCTTGCTCTTCTCTCAGGCTTTAACATCCCCAGACTAGGGCCAGGATGTTAGGGAAGTGTGTTTCTGTCCTGTATTGATTGAGGAGTTAATTATTTTTTACCTGCATCTTTTATTGTGTTTTCTATTGTTTTTATATGAATGTTTTTATTTTTATGCCTTGTTAGTCACCCAGTTATTTGATTAAGATGGGTGGCCATATACATTTGAAAAAATAAACGGATCTCCTAGGCAGACAATTTTTTATATACAAGCACCAATTTGTTTACATAGCATCATGCAACTTATTAGTCATTCAGTGATATCTAGTAGAGCTTTTAGGATTGTGTGTGTGTCTTTGCTGTAGTTGCCTGGGTTAAGAAGTCCCCAATTTTCTCCACTATAACTTCAAGACACATTGAAACATAATATAGAACTCTCTGTTTTCCCTTCATTTTGTTTTTTTTATTATTTTTCTTAAATTGGTGCATTGTTTTGCATTTTTGTAAAACAAAAGTGATTTATAAAACTTTTTAAAAAAATATTCTGACAGGCCTATTTTTCCCTTCTTACTGTGAGAAATCTTCACCTGGATGTGTCTGCTGTTAGAAATGGAAACTTTGCTATCTAAGCATCTTCCCAGAGGGGGAAAACTATCATTAATACAGAGTATCATTTATGTTATAACATTTAGCTCAAAGTAAACGCCATTGGTGTAACCTTTGCACTGAAAACAGTATTGATGGAAAGCACTGAAGAGATGAAAATGAATTAACGACGATTTGATTGTCGTTGTCTTATCTCTTTAGGAAAGCGTTTGAGATAAGGAAGCATCTGAAGATTCTGAACAGATCTTTAACTGCCTGTAATGCAGAGATGTTGGGATGCCAGCAGTGCTTCAATAAAGTACAGTGACTTTTTTCCTGGGCACACAACTGCAAACCTCCCCCCACAGCAATTTGAATTTGAATTGATTATTCTTAATCTGTATAATTCTAATCTGTGTCTGAACCTCTGATATTTAGAATGCTCAAATTATACTTGAAATTGCAAAATAATCCTATGCAAAGAATTCCAGCGCTGAAATCAGTTTACTTTTGGGTTTACTCATTCTGCTTAATCATGCATTTTGGAGGGGGTTCAGTTTGGGAGGATTTTGAAAACAGTAGGATATCAGTAGGTGAATGTATGTAGCTCAGGGTTGAACTGTGGAGTCCTTGGGGTTCTCTGAGCTTGGTTCTTTTCTTGCAAACGTTTCATTACCCGGCTAGGTAACATCTTCACTGCTAGAATGGAATGGGGTTTGCATTACTAGCCGGGTAATGAAACGTTTGCAAGAAAAGAACCAAGCTCAGAGAACCCCAAGGACTCCACAGAAAGGTGATATACACTTCATGGGTGGGTGGGGGCAGAATATTTAACTTTAACCTAGTCTTTGAGGATCAACAGGGGACGATATCTCCCTTGTCCTCTTTTTGATACTATCCCATATTAAAGAAGTTTTCAGGGAATTTATTGTGAACTCTTGACTAGTATACTGTTT